TGTGTGTGTGCGTGTGTGTGTGTGTGTGCATTTCTGTCCGAGTATTTCAACTCGGCATCCAAGCAAGCTCCAGCGTCGAAATTTTGCGATTGGGTTCCCCGGCCAAGTGCCAACTCGGGATCTCGGTAACAATCCTCACGCACGCGTAGGCCCCGCTTACGAGCGCCTCAAATTTTTGGAGGGGAAAATAGCTAATTTGGGAGCCAGGAAAGCTAGAAAAATTAAATTTTGATATTATGCTCCACGTCCATATAGAACTCAAAGATTTTAAATTTAGCCCCAGATATGGGCGCTTCCCGCGTACGACCCCGTGAGGATTGCTGGCGCGAAAATCGCTAGCTCGGCAATCAAGAAAGCTGAGGGACTGAAATTTTCAGCGAAAGTCCCCAGTTCATTCACAAAATATATTTATCAAATTCAGTCCTCCTTTATGCATGGTTACCACGTACGGCCCCGCGAACATTTTTGACGGGAAAATGGCTAACTCCGGAACCAGGGAAGCTGGAAGGCTGAAACTTTCTGGAAATTTTCCCAACTCACCTGCAACTTAAATTTATCAAATTCAGCCTCCCGTTATGTGTCCACGGACTGCCCCGTGAAATTCTTCGGTTGGAATTTGGGTAACTCGGGGGCTGAGAGAGCTGGGAATCTGGGAATTCGAGGAAATGTTCCCTGTCCAAGTATAGCCTGAACAATTAACTCCCGAAATTCGAGGACTAGTATGTCAGAGGTTTCTAGCTAGCGGGATTTCAAGTGGTCTTGTTGCAGCACGAAACACTGCAAGAACGCATAATCGCATGATTCCGCCCTGTGCGCGTCGTTAATGATTAAATATATATGTTTGTACATTTTTTCTATATATTTGCATAAAAACATACATTTATTGCCTATGTGTAAGTAAACATCTATATACACTTAAATATCTATACGTACTTGCATATGTTTATGTACACCTGCATATTTATAAATATCTATACATATTTTTATACATCTACTCATAGTTGCGTACACTTACTTGTTTATGAACATTTATGTATTCATTTATATTTACATATATTCGCACATATTTACAAACGTTTATGTATATTCATAAATTTTTATGCGTATCCGTAAACGTTTATGCATATTTGTAAATATACATATTTGTAGATAATTACAAATATTTATAAATAAATATCCGTAAATAAACATATTTGTACATATTCAAACTATA